CTAGTGAGGTGTGTTGAGGCAAGTTGGAGCTAAACTCTGCAGGACACCGGCCCTCCAGGACCGAGTTTGGACAGTTTGGTGTATGAAATCAACCGCGAAAGCTTAAGGATCCGTCTGCTCTCTTATCGCTCTCGCGGTACTTGGTCATATACTGATCCTTCTGCGCAGCGGCGCTTCAAGCCGAACGCGCCTAATGTATGCTACCGCGACAAAGCACGTATTGCGACAAATGACGTCAGAAAAGCGTCAGTACGTTATAATCGGTTATGGTCTATTACTGAACCGATACCGAACCGTCCTCGTCTGCATCGCGATGCATCGAAGAAACGATTAATTTCGACACCCCTAGTATGTATGCGTTTGAATTACATTAAAACACTTCCAGATGTTACTGTGGTGTATGTGTGTGTTTTAAGTGCTGCTCTGACAGGACTACAGGAATAATTATATTACAGGACTATTGATATTGGTCAAAAACACGTGCATGCTTATAGTTAATACAGTATGAGCTCCATCAAAACTGCTTGCTGTAACTCACCACCCAGAACTTGAGGAAATACTGAAACACTGTCGATGCAATGAACACGCAGTAGATCATGGAGTAAGACAGGAACAGCAGAAAGAACTTATAGTTGGAGAATCCCACACAGTTGTTTACCCTGAAGAGCACATCATACAAAGAGGTCACATATCTAGCATTCCAGACTGTACAAATGTAATGTAATGTTGCTTATGAGATAAGATTAACACAACTGAGAACAATAGATTACTTGACTCATAATATAATAAGTTACCATTTACCATGGACAGTGGTGATCCATTTTCAAAACGCATCTACAAAAACACAGGAACGTAGTGAAATCAGGTCGTGTTGTTCAACAGCATCCTGTAGCTTTAATTAAAATAGGGGTTTTGTGTAGAGAGATCTGTTTTCAGGAACAGGGTTGGTGTGGTGCTGGACTTACGTTTCACAGACGGAGCAGTGGTGACAGCGGTCTGGCTTTATCACCTGACAGCGGTCACAGAACCTGACAGCTAAAGACACGGAGATAAAGAAGATCAGCTGCCCGCGTTTACATCCCATCACATGTTTGACTGGCAAACACTGCCAGGTGTCTGATACCTCCTGACTGAGCGCGCGTGAAGATGGGAAGTTTCTTGGCGATTTCTGTGAGAATCTGCTTCTGAGCATCTGGCCTTTCTTCCATCTCATACCTCTCCTTATCACTGTATGATAAATGGAACTAGATAGAAAAAAAAAATAGAAAGAAATTCAAAGGGAATTGAAGACGATTAGAAAACCATTAAGATTTTTTTTTGCCTTGTGACATTTTAATGACAACCAAGCAATTATCACCTACAGTTGTCATTTTTATTTATTTTTTTATTTTTGTGTAATTCTTATAATATTAAAAAGTTGATTCTCATCCAATTCAGGGGCTGGTTACATAACAGATTTAGACTAGTGCTGTCAAGCGATTAATCGCATCCAAAATAAAAGTTTTTGTTTACAAAATATATGTGTGTGTGCTGTGTATATTTATTATGTATAAATAAAGACACACACGCATGTGGGTCAAAGACGAAAAAGGGTTTAAGCATAAAAACAATGTTATAGTATAGTATTTGTGTATGGGTCAAAGACGAAAAAGGGCTTAAACATAAAAACAATAAGTGTAATACTGCTTTAAATTATTGTTGTTTTTCCCAATTATTTTTTTAAGTTTTCGGTTTAATTTAATTGCAATTTTGTTTTTGTTTTTCAGAGCAAAAAATAAATATCATACATTTTTCCCTGATTTACAGAAGAGACCCAGTAAAATGTCATTCAGTGTAACAATCTTGTCAGGCATATTTACAACAAAAATCAATTTAAACGACTAACTACTTTCACCCCAAATACTAATTAGTTGTAATTTTACATTTTTTAAATTTGCCACTATCCTAGGTTTTGCCCAATTGTCAGTAATATTTTTTTACTCATTTAAAACACAATAAAATTTTATATGCTCCCTTATTCTTTTATATATTTTAATATGTACAAGTCAGAAAAAGCATGTTTGAATTTTTACAAAAATATTATGTTACACTGAATGACAACATTATTTCGACCAAATTTTAACATTTTATTAATCACTTTTGTACATTTCTTTTGATGCAGACATCTTAACGTCTTTGACCCATGTATATATTTGGGAAAAATATGTTATATTTGTATATTAAATATATTTATATAAATTATATAAATATATACATGTAAATATTTACAAAATATATATTGTATGTGTGTGTATTTATATATACATAATAAATATACACAGCACACACACATATATTACATAAACAAAAACTTTTATTTTGGATGTGATTAATCGCGATTAATCATTTGAAAGCACTAATTAAGATTAGTCTTACAAGTTAGTCATCTTTTTTTTTTTCTTTAAGACTGGTCATACTTTTGTAAAATTCAGTTACATAAAAGCGTAGATTAGTCTAAGTTGAATCCAAAAATAAGACTGATTAATTAAGTATGAGATTGACCTTAATTAGGTTAATTAACCTTTGGATAACTGCTAGTTGGTCAAACTCGTACTTAAGTCACTGCATTCAAAATATCACAAACACATCTCAAAAGCAAACACCTTTGCCATAATATTAATTCCTGTGTGTTACATAGAGAATAGTGTGTTGTGTTTTGCAAAAACTGTTTTATGAAATTGAAAACTAGTGAATTAGCGTATGGTTTTACAGATTTGGTGTGTGCTTCTGCTGTTTGAGTGTCAGCTTTCAGAAACTGTGCGACAAGTAAAGATTTTGTGTGTAAGCAGTTGAAAAAAAAAGCTGTAATTATCATAAAAATTACGCCGAAAAAAATATGAGTAATCAAAGAAGAGATTTGGGGTAGAATATGAACTACATGTTTTACTCCCACATTCTGATTCTTAATAAACACTATTTTAGAAACAAACTCAAAAGCCTTAAGCAGAAACCATAAATCACAGGCACCTTTTTAGACGGTGTAGATGGTGGAGTAAAGATGGCCTTCCAATAGGTCCAACAGAACATTATAAAGCACACGTGAAATATCAACAAATACGCCACTGTGGAGAAACACACACGTTATAACTAGAAACAGTCATTTTTGTCACACTTGACATAGTGCTGGGCGGTATACCGGTTCATACCGAATACCGGTGTTTATTTTTGTTATGATATGAATTTTTAAAATACCGCAATACAGGTGTATGTCGCTTAAACAACTTTCGGAACGCGACACTGTTTGAAAGGGGTCTCTTTTCACTGTTGCACTGTGGTGAGGGAACAGCTGTATGTGTTACTAAGCGTGAAAGCTCCGAAACTGAAGCTGTAGAACTAATAGAACGTGATGACACAGAAGAACTCATCCACAATATCCACATTGACCAC